CCATGTTGCCCAGGCTGGTCTTGAATTCGAGCTCAAGTGATCTGCTTGCCTCGGCCTTCCCCAAAGTGCTGGGATTACAGTTATGTGCCACCACACCAGGCTAATTTAGTCTAAATGTAATCTGAAAAACCTATCCGTGAAGAAAATCAAACAATGGAGACCCATCAGTGAGTTATACACAGGAAATCAAAGCAAATACTCCCCACCATCCAATTAACCCATGTTAAAGATTAGGGATACTCACAGTCTAACAAAACACATTTTTCTGGATTTAGAAACCTGGAATCCACCACCCCAACCTTCCAAATGTTTCATAAAAATACAAAGCCTGAAATGTACCTCCACATTCTCAATAGGAACAGTGTGTGGCAGTAGAAAAATTCCTAACCAAAAACCTGTCAGATAATTATTTGAGACCATAATCAACAATTCAGAACAACTCCAAGGCAATTATGTGGGAAAGTTAACTTCCTGACATTAATGCACACAGATTTCTTGAATTAGCTCTAAAGTATTAAATTCTTACGAAAGTAATCCTAAAACTTCTATGAAAGATTATAGTCCAAAACAAAACCCTGAATAAGAAACACAACATTTTTTAAAAGTAGAAAGAGAAAACTAGTAAAAGTAGAAAACACAAGTAGAATTATTTATAAATTAAATGGTCAAAGAGCTCTTTGAGATAATCTCTGCTTGGAACCACCTGAGATGACATGTAATGTCTGTTGGCCTCTCTCTAGTTTGATGGAATTATTTTTTATGTAAACACTATCCTTAACAGAAAGAAAATCATAAGGTCTCTTCATAGTACAAAAGAGGCTGTAACATCCCTTAATTAAAAATGACTTCACTCAAAATGTATATAATAAAAGTGCAGTTTTTTTTTATATAAATGAATGAAATGAATGCTTCTTTTGAAAGGTAAACATTTCTGTTTCCTTTAATCACTTTAAATATTACTATGCTGAAGCAAGGTAACAGACGTAAGTTATAATATTCATGGTAGCTGATTTTCAGAATGAGAGCCAAGTAGAGAATAATCTTGTCACTCTATTAGAATAAAGTAACAGTTTATTCAAAAATCTCAATAGAAAACCTACATTATTTGCTACATACATCCAAACTTATGAGTGAAAAATAGCAGTTGCTATTTAAGATGACAACCTTTAGGCAGTACCTTAGACGTGCCAAAGGAAGATGAAATATCTGGTAGTATGTTAGAATAGTGAACTCCACATTAAGTTAAAGGTAACTCCGTATTAACCAGACTTTTTAAAACAAAACACTTATTCCCTGCTGATGCTTAAAAAGTTAACTTTGTTTTACAATATTTTAAATGAAAACACAGAAGAAACCAATTTTCCAGTTTTATTGACTTCCAATTCTGAATTTCCATTAAATCTGTTCTATACAAGGTATTTCAACTGTACACCCCTTGCCAGGCACCTTGGATGAAGGCATCTTGGGCCTCAAAAGCTCAAAGTACAGTCAGTATTCTTACATATAATACATTATTATTATTATTATTATTTTGAGACAGAGTCTCGCTCTGTCACCTAGGCTGGAGTGCAGTGGCATGATCTCAGTTCACTGCAACCTCCACCTCCCAGGTTCAAGTGATTCTCCTGCCTCAGCCTCCCAAGTAGCTGGGATTACAGGTGTGCACCACCATGCCCAGCTAATTTTTTTGTGTTTTTAGTAGTGACGGTGTTTCACCATGTTGGTCAGGCTGGTCTCGAACTCCTGACCTCGTGACCTGCCCACCTTGGCCTCCCAAAGTGCTGGGATTACAGGCGTGAGCCACCACGCCCACCCCATGTAGTAAATTATTAATAAATACTTGAATAAAAAATGAATATGGCATTCACCAGATTAACATAAAATAAATTCTCACATTTGCTTTTTCCTTCCTCCCAAATCGTTACAGTCACTATGCTATAGGAAACATGAGGTTAAAGACCATACCCATGTTTGTTTACTATGGTATTTCCTTGGTAAAGAAGAGATTTTCAATAAAAGGTTTGGGTCATGTGGGAAATTTTCTTATACTACAAACAACTGGGCCATGATGCAAAAGTGGTCATCAGAATGTTCTTGTGGCATACTGCCAAGGGCAACACAACAGATATGGTAGGAAATGCAATAACCCAAGTTAATGACTTGTTGATAAGCATGATCTAGGAGAAGAAACATTAGGTGTAGAAAAGAGGCTAAAATGAAGTATTTTATTATTTCAATCACAAATGCAATAGAATTTTAGCAGATTTTCTCTGATGCAATCAGGACACTGGCATGCTGCCATCACTGAGTGTACTGATTACTGGCATGGCAATTTTTTGTTGTTTTAGAAAGTGCTATTAGTAAAAATGACTGGGAAAAAAATATGTTATTCCTCTCAATTTCTTAGATGATTACCACTTGACTATAAGTGGGGCCTAAATGCTTTTTTATAGCTGGAGGAATTGCTATCATTGTCTAACCTGGTGTCTGGTACATAATAGGGAAAAAAGACAGTTTTTGACTGAATGAAAGAATGAGAAAACCTTTAAAAACAGGTTTCTTGGCCAGGAGTGGTGGCTCACGCCTATAATCCCAGCAGTTTGGGAGCCCAAGGCGGGCGGATCATGAGGTCAAGAGATCGACACCATCCTGGCCAACACGGTGAAACCCTGTCTGTACAAAAAATACGAAAATTAGCTGGGCATGGTGGCGCATGCCTGTAGTCCCAGCTACTTGGGCAGCTGAGGCAGGAGAATCGCTTGAACCCAGAGGCGGAGGCTGCAGTAAGCCGAGGTCACGTCACTGCACTCCAGTCTGGTGACAGAGTGAGACACCGTCTTAAAAGGAAAAAAAAAGCACACCCCCCCCCCACCTCAAAACCAGGTTTCTTTACTTTAAAAAAGTGAAGCTAAAAAAGAAAACACAAAAGAAAAAAAAGCAAAGCTATAATTTTTGGCTTATAGCCTTCAAAGTCTTTAGCATACAGAATGATAGAATATTATCTCCAAAAATAGAATTCTTTAATTGCAAAACAAAATTAAAACATTGTTAAACAATTTTTAAAAATTTTTTTTCTTTTTTTTTTTTTGAGACGGAGTCTCGCTCTGTCGCCCCCAGTGGCGCGATCTCGGCTCACTGCAAGCTCCGCTCCCAGGTTCATGCCATTCTCCTGCCTCAGCCTCTGGAGTAGCTGGGACTACAGGCGCCCGCCACCACGCCCGGCTAATTTAATTTTATTTTTTTGAGACGGAGTCTTGCTCTGTTGCCAGGCTGGAGTGCAGTGGCACGATCTCGGCTCACTGTGACCTCTGCCTCCTGGGTTCAAGCAATTCCCCTCAGGCTCCCTGGTAGCTGGGACTACAGGTGCGTACCACCACACCCGGCTAATTTTTTGTATTTTCACTAGAGTTGGGGTTTCACCATGTTGGTCAGGTTGGTCTCAATCTCCTGACCTCGTGATCCACTCACCTCGGCCTCCCAAAGTGCTGGGATTACAGCCACCACTCCCGGCCTAAACAATTTTTTTTTGAATAACTTTCTGTGGTAGTTTAAAGGTGGCTACAAATTCTTTCCTACTGAGAGGTAGGGTCTAATTCCCCATCTTCTGGCCTGGCTTTAATGACTTATGTCGTCAAAAGAAGATAGCTGAAGTAACGTTCTGGAACTTCTGGGCCTACGTCAAAAGAAACCTTGCAGCTTTGCTTGGCTTTCTTGGAACATTCTCTCTGGGACCCCTGAGCTGCCACATAAGAAGTCTGACTACTTTGGACCGATCTTGTTGGAGGAGCCAAATAGGTGCTTCTAATTCCACCTGAGCCCAGCACTCCAGTCATTCCTACCTAGGTGCCAGACAGGTGCAAGAGGCAGTCCGGGATGCTCCAGAGCAGTCCACTAGCCTGTTAAATGTCAACAAAGGACCTCTTTGGATACCTTGTAGAATAGAAAATTCACTCAGCCCAAGCCTTGCTTCATTTCCTGACTCATAAATGATGAGATATTAAAAAAAAAAAAACTGTGGGCCAGGCGCAGTAGCTTGTGCCTGTAATCCCAGCACTATGGGAAGCCGAGGCGGGCGGATCGCTGGAGCTCAGCAGTTCCAGAACAGCCTAGGCAACATGGTGGAACTCCATCTCTACTAAAATAGAAAAAAATTAGCCAGGTGTGGGGGTGCATGCATGTAGTCCTTGCTACTTGGGAGGCTGAGGCAGGAGAATTGCTTGAACCTGGGAGAGGGAGGCTGCAGTGAGCCAAGATCACGCCACTGCACTCCAGCCTGGGCGACAGAGCAAGACTCCATCTCAAAAAAATAAATAAATAAATAAAATAAATAAAATAAAATAAAATAAATTGTTTAAAAGTGTTAGCCCTTCATTTTGAGAAAATAGATAACTGGAAAACCTTACCAAAGAAATGAATGCTACTAGAAATGCTATTACTTGGGACCATTTTTACCTATCTTCAATTTGTTAATCAACTCAGTTTCCATTTATGCCTGGAATTAGAAGCCTTCTCAGTGGCTAGTTTTAAGTCATTATACATGCACAGTATTAAAAGCATTAACTTCCCCCAGCCCACAAATCTGTTTTGTCAGTCAGGTTGAGTGACTGAGGAACCCCCTGAGGGCTGTTTTTGCCAATAGATCATCTGCAGTTTTATTCTATTTCTCTTTCCTCTAAGAGCTCTTAGGTTAAATTCAAAATTTAACTGTGAGACTTCCAAACTCTCATAGTACTGGTAATTAGGAAAAGGGTGGAACGAGAAAGTAGAAAGCCAATAAAAATGTACTAGCCACATACAAATAAAAAGAATTATATTATATGATACAAGCAAGTTAAGACTCACAGCAAGCTAATCCAACTGGCTCCCAAACCAGCTAGTAAGCATGTCACAAAGGGTCAACTTACCCTTTTAGAATTCTGAGAAGTGAGTTTTGTATGAAAATAAACATAAATATATACTGAATATTTAGTATTTGTAGTCAGAGAAAAATTCCTGTTTACCTGCAGATCTATATTGTTCTCAATACAATGTTCATTCTTCTCTACCAAAATCTTCCCATAGTTTTCTGATTTGATAAGATTTTCAACTCTGGTTGTATCTTTCACTTCTGCCTCCAAATCCTTCATTGTTGCAGTTTCATCTTTTACAGTAACAGTATCAGACATCCTCATTAGCAAAGGTTATTTTCGAATTCTACAGGGAGCTTGAAACCTTAAGAAAAAAAGATTAATACAGTTTTAAACTTTTTTACATTCAGTTACTGCATGATACTAACCTACTGTCTGTCATGTTCCAGAAATAATGTTGAATATAGACAGGAACAAAATTCTTGCTTTCAAGGAGTATATAATTTTGTGCTAGATACATCCAAATTAAAAAAAAAATCACAATACAGTGGGAAAAGAGCTATATGAAGTATGTGAGCCAGGCACAGTGGTACCCAGCTGTAGTCCTAGCTACTTGGGAGTCAGGCAGGATGACTGCTTGAGTCCAGGAGGCTGAGGTCACCTGGGCAACACAGCAAGACCCTGTTGCTAATACATAAATAACATTTAAAAAAAGAATATGGGGTGATTTTGATGCACATTTACTTGTGGCAATTCTTAAGAAACATTAAGGAATGAGCCAGATCAAGGTAGAAGGTAATGGCTGGAGAATTATATATGTGTATTTAGAAGACATTAGAAATCTTCTTCTCCAAAGGGATATCTATAATAGCTTTTTCATCTGGATTCCTAAAATTCCAAATTTCTTAAATTACCCTGAAATATTTCCAAAAGTAAACAATTTAAAAATAAATAGTCACGGCTGGGCGTGGTGGCTCACGCCTGTAATCCCAACACTTTGGGAGTCCGAGGCGGGTGGATCACGAGGTCAGAAGATCGAGACCATCCTGGCTAATACGGTGAAACCCCGTCTCTACTAAAAATACAAAAAATTAGCCGGGCGTGCTGGCGGGCGCCTGTAGTCCCAGTTACTCGGGAAGCTGAGGCAGGAGAATGGCGTGAATCCGGGAGGCAGAGCTTGCAGCGAGCTGAGATCACGCCACTGCACTCCAGCCTGGGCGACAGAGCAAGACTCCGTCTCAAAAAAAAAAAAAAAAAAAACAGTAACATTCTATTACAAAATACACTTGTAAATCTGGATTAACAAATATGTTCAGCAATATGAAGAAAGCATTGAAGACGCTCCTGAATTAAGTGATTCAATGCCAAACAACACATATTATCCAGGCACTCTAGAATATGGAATCCACAGGAAATCAAATACATAAGATTACAGTATATTTTCATGTCATTAGTGAGTTTAAGACAATCAATGTTTTCACACTGGATTAATGTATTAGAGATTCAGCTAAAGATAGCAGTCATTTTAAGCTGCAAAAAATGTAATAAAAACAGCAGAACTTGGCCGGTGGGGTGACTCATGACTGTAATCACAGCACTTTGTGAGGCCAAGGTGGGCGGACTGCTTGAGCTCAGGAGTTCAAAACCAGCCTGGGCAAAGTGGCAAAACAAAGACTCTACTAAAAATACAAAAATTAGCCAGGTATGGTGGTACACGCCTGTAATTGCAGCTACTCAGGAGGCTGAGGCACAAGAATCACTTGAAGCCGAAACGCGTGTGTTCCAGCGAGCTGTGATCACGCCAACTGGACTCCGGCTGGGTGACAGAGTGAGGCTCTGTCACAAAACAAAACAAAAAAAACCAATAATGGCAGAACTTGATATAAACAACTTATTCTGAAATGCATCTTAAAAAAAAAGAACAGATTGATATATAGAGAGATAGACAGACATAGGTCATAGCAACTATGCTAAAATGTTACTGGTAAAATCAAGGGGTGGTTCCAGGGATGTTCACTGTAAAATTCTTTCAACTTTTCTATATTTCTGAAAATTTTCATAATAAAATCTTGTGGGGAGAAAAAACCAGTGGAACTTATTTTCTCTATATCAATTTGAAAAATTCAAAAGTTCATTTCCTGAAAGAATGTTTTGCAATTAAATATCTAAATGGATTTTAGGGCCAGGCGCGGTGGTTCACACCTGTAATCCCAGTGCTTTAGGAGGCTGAGGCAGGCGGATGACTTGAGGCCAGGAGTTTGAGACCAGCTTGGCGAACATGGCTAAACCCTATCTTTATTAAAAATACAAAAATTAGCCAGGCATGGTGGCACGTGCCTGCATGCCTGTAGTCCCAGCTACTCGGGGGGCTGAGGCAGGAGAATTGCTTGAACCTGGGAGGCGGAGGTTGCAGTGAGCCAAGATTGTGCCACTGCACTCCAGCCTGGGTGACAGAGTGAGACTCCGTCTCAATAAATAAATAAATAAATAAATAACTAAATAAATGGATTTTAGGAATTGATAAATACAGCTGAAAAGTTAAAAAAGCCAAAGAGAAGTAGATCCTAAAGTCACTGACAGACTGAACTGAATTAAAAAAAAAAAACGACGTCTTCCTGAACTATAACCCATACCAAAGTTAATTGTTTCATTCTGAAAACAAACAACTGCAAAGTGGGGACAGAGTGGGGAAGTTACTGAAAACACTGGCTTCTTGCTTTTTTTTTTTTTTGAGACGGAGTCTCGCTCTGTCGCCCAGGTTGGAGTGCAGTGGCGCCATCTCGGCTCACTGCAAGCTCTGCCTTCCGGGTTCACGCTATTCTACTGCCTCAGCCTCCCGAGTAGTTGGGACTACAGGTGCCCGCCACCACGCCCGGCTAATTTTTTTTTGTATTTTTAGTAGAGACGGGGTTTCACCGTGTTAGCCAGGATGGTCTCGATCTCCTGACCTTCTGATCCGCCCACCTTGGACTCCCAAAGTGCTGGGATTACAGGTGTGAGCCACCACGCCCAGCCGGTTTCTTGCTTTTTATAGGTATGATTTTGCAAGAAAAAGAAATATGTTTTTCTGAATGACAGGCAGGTATTACCTGATGCGTCCTTTGGATTTGGGATTGTGGTGTCCCAGAAAAAAAAAAAAAAATAATCCAAGGTTCTTTTTCACAGTTGTCAGCCAGGATGTCAACTGTAGTGAACCATCTGTAATCTGGCAGGAGGAGTCCCATGTCCTTGTCACCACTGTAGATTCCCGGACTGGAATGGACTGTCTTGGATCAAATATATCATACCTTTCCGTGGCCTAAAATGAAAACAAAAGAAACTATTTTAACAAAATGGCCAAGGGAAATGGAATACTCCACGTGAAACTGAGAAATTAAAAATATTACTGTCAGTTGTTTTTATTATATATTTTCTGAAACAAAAGTCAGAACACTGAGTAACAATGAATTCTAACATGTATTAGCTATGTGAACCTGAATAAATCACTGAGGCCAAGAGGATTGATTAGTTAAAAGCAGAAGAGAGAAGAGGAAGGAAAGTGATATGTACTGAGAAGCTACAATGCAGTCAGAGTTATAATTGAGATAGTATCTATAGATAAGGAGACAGAAAAAAGATCACAATCAGAAACATTTTAACTCCAAGAACCATCATTTTTAGAGTTATCTTCTAGAGCTGTTACTCTACGGACTTAAGACTCTAATTCTGAACAGTAATAACATTCTAGATTTTAAAAAATACAACAGAAAAAATAAAACAAAAATAATAAGCCATTGAACATTTTTAATGAATCCCACATTGTTCTTAAAAAAAAAAAAAAAAAAAAGTTGGCTGGGTGCAGTGGCTCATGCCTATAATCCCAGCACTTTGGGAAGCCAAGGCAGGAGGATCACTTGAGCCCAGGAGCTCCAGACTAGCATGGGCAACACAATGCGACCCCATCTCCACAAAAATTAAAAAATTAGCTGGGTGTACGGGTGTGCACCTGTAGTCCTAGTTACTTACGAGGTTGAGGTGGGAGAACAGCTTTAGTTGGGGGTTACAGTTAGCTATGATCATGCTACTCATGCACTCCAGTCTGGATGGCAGGCAAAAACAAAACAAACCCCAAATGCAAAATGTTCTCCATGTCATATTTTTGAAGTCAGTTTCATTTCATATTTATTCGGTATGAATGAATATAGCCTAGCAAGTAAACAACTCTAAAAAGATTATATACCTCTTCCATTGTCCTCTGACATTTTTGCTGTCAATAAACAGGATAGTACAATTTTAAGGTGAAATAAGCATACATATATGCATATAATGAGGTCTAAGCACCAAGAGACCTAACACCAAGACAGCCAAGCATGCACTATAGAGTAACTCACATTTTATACTAACTCTTCAAAAGCCATTTTGAAACACAATCACTTGGAACCAGATATAATCTTATATTAGTTTTCACAATGTTTGACACAAGGATAATAGAAAAGGGGGTATCAAAAACAAATGTCAAAAAACTTTAAATTGATACTGTGTCATCTCAATCTGACCAAGATTCTCCAGCCACTACATCAAATGATTGTTTTAAGTTACACCAAAAACAAAACAAAAAAAAATCCTTCAAGTATTTTTTCTCAATTTTAGCTTTTTAGCTCATAAAATGGTAGACACAAGATGGCAGCATTCACTAAGCAACCAAATTATTTGTGTTCTTTGTAAAGTGACTTTACAATTTAATCGTGAATCTCTTAATTTTGTAATTCCATAAAAGTAAGGCTTTTAATCCACTGAAGAAATAAATAAGGCAATAGCTGCAGGGGAGAGTGAGGAAGGGGCAAAATCGAAGAGGTGAACACCTTAGAAGATCCTCTTAGAATCCCAAGGTCCCATGAAACCCCAAAGAACCTGAGAGATCACCTAGTCCAATTCAGCATTCAAGTTATTATTGCCTAGAAGTCAAATGACGTCTTCAAAGTCACACAACCAGTATGTGTGACCAAAACTTGCTAATATGCCACACCACTTATTGCCTGGGAAGGAGTCAATGGCATATCGAAATGGCAAAAGAAAGAGAAGTGCACTAACATTAGATATTGGTTTAAATTCCAGCTCTGCTAGTTATATGTTCGGTAAATAATCTCTCTGAGCTGCAGTTTTCTGATCTGCAAAGTGGAAAAAAGAATATCTAGATTCTAGGTTTGTTGTGAGAACTGACTGATTTAAATGTAGAACCGACCACAGCCTCTCTCACAGGGCAGGCCCTCCAAAAATGTTAGCTCTCTTCCCTGGTCAGAATGCCTTTAGATGAGCAGTTGGCTAAGCCTGATTTTGCTGTGTCCTGATCCCTACCCCTACACAACAGTAGACTGATAGGAGGCCTACCACTGTGCACAAGTGGCTTTGCATTTTTGTGTATGGCTCTCATTTGAAGGCTTCTAATTGAATATTAAAAATTCATAGAAACTGTTGGGTGTAGTGGCTCAGGCCTGTAATCTCAGGACTTTGGGAGGTGGAGGTGGAAGCATCACTTGAGACCAGGAGTTCAAGACAAGCCTGGGCAACATAGCAAACCCTATCTTTACAAAAAAGAAAAAATATATATATATGAACTTTGCATTATTCTCCAAAATATTAATGCACTTGTTTAATTTTTAATTTTAATTTTTTAGAGACAAGGTCTCACTCTGTCACCCAGGTTGGAGTTCAGTGGCATAATCCTGACTCATTGCAGCCTTGACCTTTGAGGCTCAAGCTATCTTTCCACTCTGGCTTCCTGAGTAACTGTGACTACAGGCGCACGCCACTATGCCCAGCTAATTTTTAAATTGTTTTTGTAGAGATGGGGTCTTGCTATTTTGCACAGGCTGGTCTCAAATTCCTGCACTCAAGTAATAATCCCCCTGTCCCAACCTCCCAAAGTGCTGGGATTACAGGTGTGAGCCATTCTGCCCATCTAATGAACTTGTTTGAAATAAAAATGTTTTCCCTCTCCAAATCTTCAAGTAAAAGGGATGTGTTTCAGCTTTTGGTACTCACTGGAAAAACAAAAACAAACCCTTTTTGGTAAACCCATGAAGCCTACACTTCTCAGTTTGCCAAAGGTTGTGTGGGCACGTGGGTGTCAAGTATAGAAAGCTACAAGATAGACATGGCACATCATGTCTCTAAGACAACATTTAGAAGTACATTAAATGTACTGTCTTAATATAATAAATAGTTGTACAGTAAGTGAAAGATACCGAGGAACTTACAAAATTTAGGAAGACAACTTAGAGAAAAAAAATGAACAAAATGTAGGCATTCATTAAGTATATATCTCAGTTCCCACTATTACTGAAATTAAAAAACTGAATTTTTCAGAATCTTTGTCAACCTTAGATGGATATACGAGCTCAAAATTCACATTCAACTTCAAAAAAATATTCTAACAGTCAACATGCTATTTATTAGGGACAAGTCAGAGATGTGCTTACATATAATTCCTGTGCTACCAGGTAGATAACCAGAGAAAGGCCACATGTATGTTTACATATGCACAAAAAGGATGGCATGTACCCGAAACCATAAATGAAAGGAAATTACAGGTAAAATTAAAGATCATAACCTTAAAAAAGTAAATCTATGAATCTACAAGGATATAAAGGAAATCTTTTTATGACTTTTGGGTGGGAAATCCTTCCCAGGTGTGACACTAAAATCTACAAGCCATCAAAGGTAAATAGTTATAAAACTTAGAACAAAGTTTTAAAATTTCTATATAATAAAATAGAACATAAACAAAAGGCAGATGATACATATGAACTATTTCCAACACAAAAGGGTCAAAATGTTGAAAGTAAAAAAGGTCTTGTAAATCAAGGGAAAGAAAAGGATCGGGAAATGACAGGAATAGGTAAGCTACAAAAGAATACAAACAGCTCCACCAAAACCAAATACTAATATATATATTTACCATGTGCCTGGCCCTGTGGTAGTATTTTTCATAATGAATTCATTTAAAACTCACACTACAGTTCTAAGAAGTATGTCCCATTATCACTCTGTACTGCAACAGATTAGGAAACTAAGGCACATAAAAAAATAATTTGTCCAACTTCACACAGCCAGTAAGTATGGAAACCAGGATTTGAATTGGACAGACTAGTACTCCATTTCAGGCTCTTACCTGCAATACTGTATCATCATCTGTAGGTACCAAGAAGAGGGACAATTTGTGTTTACGGAGCACTTTTATTTTAAGAGTAATTATGACATGGTAACTCCTTTGTACTAGACTTAAAACAAAGTAAATTTATTCTTTTCACATGAAGAGGAGTTATGTACTTTTTTTTGTATACAAGAAGATAGTACTATTAACTTTGTATTAATGGTCACCAGGAGTAATTACTACTAAACTATCAGAACTGCCAGGAATTATACAACCATTCTGTTTCTCTTAATCCTCCTATCACTTGTGATGATGAGTACCAACTATGCAAACTTGGGTGGCAATAAGGATTCACAGTTTGTGGCTAAGGAACAATGCGAAGGCAGTAGCTTACAAATGATAAATATGCATGATTAAATACCTTCCTCTATGTAACAAAGCAAGGCAGAATTAGGATCAACACTTTCAAGGGCAAACTAGTATATATGAAGTTTAAAGACAAGTAGTTTCTCCAGTGAAAATTTTAGTTAGAAGTATTAACAACAAAAATGCAATATTGATACTGACAATTCAAAATATCACTTTATTATACTTGGGGTCTAAGTTTTGGTTTCATAACACAAAAGAACTGAAAAGTTAGGTAGCCCCAACAATAAATATTCAAATTTCACACAAGGAAAGTCAATTTACTCTAGGATAACACAATATTTAAAAATCATTTGTTAATTTATATGTGGGAAATAAATCTCGCTCCTATAGGTAAAAATATTTTTCACAAAAATATTTAGGGGAAAAAGAGTTACATTATTGATGTTATCTGAACAGAATTTGGCAAAGTCTTAAAAAATGGGTTGTTGCTTCCTTATCACTATCTAGCTCTCCAATCCCGTTTCATTACATAATATGTTATGCTTTTTCTCTTAGAGACAGAAATATAACCAGACAGGCACATCTATAAAGAAAATCAAATGCACAAAAGCAACCCATATCCCCATATCAAGTTCTACCTGAGGTTATAAATGGGCACAACCAAACTGGTCAAATGCCTCTAGAAAGAAAGGCAAAGAGCACTGTTTATGCTGTATTTAGAAATAGTGGAAATTCACATTTGCAGTCACTTTGTCAGTCACTTGAACAAGAATATAAGCACTGACATTTCAAAATGT